CCTCCTCCTCCTCCTCCTCCGAGGAAGCTGCAGCCCTGGGTAGAAGCATTGTCCAGTCTTCTTTCCCTGTCACGGAAGATTCCGCTCGTCCTTGATTGCACGTGCATCGGCGGATCGCGCCCCATGATGCGGTTGGGGCGGTTGTTTGGGAATGTGCCCATGAGGCTTCCGACCCTGGACAGTCCCTTATCTGATGAGGGCGGACCAAGCCAAAGTTGGCTTTCCACCCGCCTTTCAGACTGTGGATTCCTTCTCCAAAGGTTCCTGATACGTGAGCTCACCTTATTATGCGCGAAGTGGTGCCAAACAGCGCCGAGCAGCGTTCAAACGGCACCCACTAGCGACTCATGACACCCGACAGCGCCATGTGAGGCTGCTGCATTATGTCTGCTTTGCGCGCCACTGGGCGCCATGGGGACGACCAAATTCGGCGGCAATGTCGGAGGAAAGTGGGAAGGAGAAGGCCTTTTCAGAAGGCTCGGACGTCCCCCTGGGCCTTCTGACAAGTTTCACGAGCCCTCCCCGAAGACACCGAGAACTTCTCAGAAGGCCAGAGCGCTTCTGAGAAGTCCGTCGCCTTCTGAGAAGGCCTTCTCCTCCTCACTTCCCACCCCCCCCCCCGGGCGCGCCGCCGAATATATATATATATATATATATATATATATAGGTCACGATCGGTCCCCGGACCCCTCCCGGGGTCTGTCCGACGCGGTTTTTCACCCCGCATCGAGTTTCCTCGTCCCCCCCTCGTCCGAGCACATGCCTCGGGACGTGCTTTGCGATCCCCCCTCCCGGCCGCCCCCCTCCCGGCCGCCCCCAGGACTTGGCATCGCTCGGACGTGTGCTTCATTTCCTCGGCTTGGGGCGACCGACATGGGTACGGAAAGAATGGTTTCAATGCCCAAGAACAGTTCCTGTTCGTTTTGAACAGGACTCGCTGTCCGCCCCGCCGCGGCCTGTGTCCACGTGAGGCAGACGGCCGTCTGCCCAACGGCGGCCTCCGTTGGTTTGGGACAGCGTCTGTTGTTGGGCACTGTGCCCATTTTTCCGTACCCATTTCGGTCGAGGACCCTCGAGGAGCATCTTGGACCATCTTGCCACTAAACCGCGCACGGCACCGGACAATGCACGGGCAAGGGCCGTACCCGAGCGACGGCGGGCGAGAAAAAGCCGCCCGCAGGTGGAGGAGCTGCCCGCGGAGGACCGCTACAACGCCGACGCCGTGGCCGGGCTCCTGCGGTACCGCCTGCTGCCGGCCGGCGAGCTCGACCGGCTCCTCTCGCGCTGGGTCGGCGCCCGCAACGGCGCGGGGCCGCCGGCGCGGGCGCGGCGTGGTGGTATCGGGAGCCCTGAGACGGGCCTGTCCCCCTACAGGGGGATTTACGACGAAGAACAAAAGATACCGCAAACATACCCCAAAAAGGTAAAAAGATACTCCAAAAATAGTCCCCAGACTATTTTTGGATTATTTTTTGGTTATTTTGGGGGTATTTTTGTATTTTTCGTCGAAAATCCCCCTATAGGGGGACAGGCCCGACTTAACGGGAGCCTGGAGACGGGGGTCATTGCAAACGGGGGTCAGCCAGAGCGCCCGATCTTGCAGGATCCTGCAGTGCCAGAGTCGTATCGGCCTGGGTTTGGGTGCAGGATCCTGCAGGATCTTGCAGGATCCTTCGCATTGACCCAGGTGTGGGTGCAGGATCTTGCAGGATCCTGTAGGATCCTGCAACGCCTGACTGACCCAGGTTTGCATTGACCCCGGTCAGTGCGTCCCCGCTGGTGGTCGTCGTCGAGGTCACCTGCGTCGAGGTCGTCGTCGTCGGCGGCGGCGGCGTCGACGTCGAGGTCGAAGTGGTCGATGCCGTCGAGGTCGTCGTCGCCGTCGTCGTCGTCGTCGTCGACGCCGTCGTCGTCGTTGTTGTTGTCGTCGTCGACGTCGTCGTCGTGGTCGAGGTCGTCGGCGTCGAGGGCCTCGTTGGCGTCGTCAGGGTTGAAGGGGGAGGGTTCAGCAGCAGGAAGGGGACGAGGAGAAGGATGAGGATGAGGAGGAGGAGGAGGAGGAGGATGATGATGAGGATGAGGATGAGGATGAGAATGAGGATGAGGATGAGGATCCAGGATGATGATGATGCTGATGATGATGATGATAATGATAATGATGGTGGTGGTGGTGTTGATGATGATGATGCTGATGATGATGATGATGATGATGCTGCTGCTGTTGATGATGATGATGATGATGCTGCTGATGATGATGGTGATGATGATGATGATGATGAAGCTGATGATGATGATTATGATGATGATGCTGATGATGATGCTGATGATGGCTGATGATGATGATGATGGCTGATGATGATGACGATGATGATGATGATGATGATGTTGATGATGCTGATGATGATGATGATGATGATGATGATGATGATGATGATGATGATAATGATGATGATGATGATGATGATGATGATGATGATGATGATGATGATGATGATGATGATGATGATGATGATGATGATGATGAGAGAGAGCGTGATCCACCGCCGCTTTACTGTGGAAAATTGCCAACCTTTTCCTCCGGAACCCGGGGGTCTCCCCCCCCCCCCCCCCCTCCGAAAATGCCCCCCCCCCTGCTGGAACCCCCTCACCCCCTCCCCCCCCCTCCCCGGCAAAAACCCCCCACCTCCCCTAACCCCTCCCCCCCCCCCCCCCCCTCCCGCTCGAAAAACGGGGGGGTCACTAACGGTTGGAACCCTTCCCCCCCCCCCCCCCCCCCTCCGGATCCGGAAAACCGGGGGGGGTCACTACCGGTTCGAACCCCCCCCCCCCCTCCCCCCTACTCACCGCCAGCAAACGACTCCCGGTCCCCACCACCGTCCGCATCACATCCCCCACTGGTGTTTCCAGCACCACTGTCCTCACCACCGCTGTCCCCACTGGTTCCACCACCGCCCCTACTGTCCCCACCAGTGGCCCCACCACTGTCGCACTGTCCCCGCTGTCCCCAGAACTGTTCCCACCACGGTTCCACTCTCCCCACTGTCTCCACGGCCCAAACCACTGCCCGACTATCCCCACTGTCCCCACTGTCCCACTGACTCCTCCGCTGTCCCACTGAGCTGTCCCACTGTTCCCACCACTGTCCCCACTGTCCCCACCACTGTCCCCACTGTACCTCTGTCCCATTGTCCACCGCCGTCCTCGCCACCGCCTTCACCACTGTCCCCACCACCATTGTACCCTCCACTGTCCCACTGTTTCCACCTCATTCCCATTGTCCCCACACCACTGTCCCCACCACCACCGTCACCACCACTGTCCACTGTCCCCCCCTGTTCCCACCATGGTCCCCACCACTGTCCCCACCACTACCGTCCCCACCACTGTCCCACTGTCCCACTGTCCCCACCACTGTCCCGCTATCCCCTCACCACTGTCCCCACCAACACCGTCCCCACCACTCTCCGCACCCCCACTCGGTTTTCGAGGGAGGGGGGGGTTCGAACCGGTAGTGACCCCCCCCGGTTTTCGGGATCCGGAGGGGACGGGGGGGAGGGGTTCGAACCGGTAGTGACCCCCCCCCCCTTTTCATGATGAGCAGGGGGGGGGGGGGGTGGGGAGGGGGTTCGAACCGGTGTGGACCCCCCCCGGTTTTCCGTGAGGGGGGGGGGGGGGGGAGGGGTTCGAAACCGGTTCAGTGTTGTGGTGACCCCCCCGGTTTTCCGCCAGCAGCGCGGGTAGAACACGTTCTTTCGATGATGATGAGATGATGGATGATGCTATGATGATGGATGATGCTGATGACGAGGAGGAGGAGGAGGAGGAGGAGGAGGAGGAGGAGGAGGAGGAAGAGGTGGAAGAGGAGGAGGAGGAGGAGGAGGAGGAGGAGGAGGAGGAGGACCCCAGCGGCCCCTTCGAAGTCGGGGAGCCTCGATCCTCCTCGAGGCCAGAGCCGACCGACTCCCAGGACTCGCCCCAGCGCGTGATCCTCCTCTGCGCCTGCCTCTCGGCTGCTCCGCACTGCTGCCCCCGTCGTGCTCACCGTCCCAGGAGGACGCCCAGACCTTCGGAACCTTCGTCAGTTTGCGCTCCAGGACAGCTCCAGCGGTGCAGTGCCGGGGGCGGGAAGATTGACGAGTCTGCAGCCTCCCTGGACGATGCTGCAAGTTCTACGATGTGTTGTTCCTTCCTTGTTCTACTCCTCTCTATGCAATCCCCTCCTCCTCCTCCTTCTTCCTCCTTGTCCGCTTCCTCCTCCTAGCTCCTCCTCCGTCCTCCTCCTCTTCCTCCTCCTCCTCCTCCTCCTCCTCATCCTCCCTCCTCCTCCTCTCCTCCTCCTCCTCCTCCTCCTCCTCCTCCTCCTCCTCCCTTCCTTCCTTCTCACTCCTCCTTCCTCCTCCTCCTTCCTCTCCTCCTCCTCCATCCTCCTCCTCCTATCAACTCCCCTCCTCCTCCTCCTTTCTCTCCTCATCCTCCTCTCCTCCTCCTCCTCCTCCCCCTCCCCTCCTTTTCCTCCTCCTCCGTCCTGTCGCGGCGCCGGGCGCAGGCGCGCAGAGCGCGTTCAACGCGCAGGCGGTGGACTTCGGGCTGCTGCTTCTCAGCAGGGCCGCCGTTCCCGCCGCCTGCCCCGCGGGTCGACGGGATAGAGAGAGGTCCCCCGCCGTGGGGTGTGGGACCCTCTCCTTCCTCCATCCTCCCTGCTCCTTCTCCACCTCCTCCACCTTCTCCTCCCTCCCTCCTTCCCCTCTTCCCTCCCTCTCTCCCTCTCTCCCTTCCTCCCTCCCTCCCTTCCTCCCTCCCTCCCTCCGCCTTCTCCTCCGCCTCCTCCGCCTCCTCCTCCTCCTCCTCCTCCTCCTCCTCCTCCTCCACCTCCTCCCTCCTCCAGCTCCTCCCTCCTCCAGCTGCGGTCTGTGGCGGAGGCACTCCGCCAGGAGGAGGACGATGCTCTTCTCGTCCGAGCTGCCAGCGTAAGCTTTTCAGTGTCTGGCGGTTCCGATTGAGTTTGTTTCGGTGTCTTTCGATGGCGGTCCAATGCGCAGGCCACCACAAGGTCTCATGCCAGATATGCACCCGCGAGTGTATATGTGCCTGGCGTCACTCCGTCTCCAGGGCGAGGTGTATGTTAATTTATACTCCCCCGTCTTCTTCGTTACGCTGAGCTCCTCCCCAGCACTTCGCAGCCCCCCGGGAGCCGCGAGGTCTCGAAGCGATGTGCGCAATTGTCGCCACGTTCGCGGGCTTCTGGGAGGTGCAGCGGATTGGAGTCCCACGCGACTCCAGCCGAGACTTGGCGGCTCCATGAGGGGGGCTGCGCAGTGCGCAACCGTCGCTGCGTGAGGTCCCGCGGAGTGGCAGCCGAGACCTCGCGGCTCCCTGGGCGGCTGTGGCGTGTGCATATGTCATCACTTTCGTGGGTTCCTTCGGGCCTCCTCCTCCTCCTCCTCCTCCTCCTCCTCCGCCTCCGCATCCGCATCCGCCTCCGCCTCCGCCTCCGCCTCCGCCTCCTCCTCCTCCTCCTCCTCCTCCTCCTCCTCCTCCTCCTCCTGTGCAGCGGAGTGGAGTGGTACGCGGCTCCAGCCGAGGCCTCGCGGCTCCCCGAGTGGCTGCGGAGTGTGCCAGTGCGGCTCCGTTCGCGGGTTCCTGGGAGGTCCCGCGGGGTGGAGTGGTACCTCCCCCACCCATCCTCCCTCCTCCCTCCTGCTCCTCCACCTCCTCCCTCCTCCCTCCTCCTTCCTCCCTCCTCCTCCTCCTCCTCCTCCTCCTCCTCCTCCTTTGGGGGGGCCGCGAAGTGCGCTACTGTCGCTACTTGCGTGGGTTCTTGCGAGGTCCAGCGGGGTGGGTGTCGCGCGGATCCCGTCGAGACCTCGCGGCTCCCTGGGGGGCTGCGAAGTGCCGAATTGTCTCCACGTTCGTGGGCTTCCCCGACGCTTAGCGGAGGGGGTGAGTACGCGGTTCCAGCCGAGACCTCTTTGAGGGGCTCCGAAGTGCGGGTCATTCATCATGTTCGTTTGTACTGGGCGGTCCTTACCATAGCAGCCCCATGTTTAGAAAGGTTTGTGTGCTTCTCTGGAGCATTCCCCGTCCAGTTTGTTGCGAACCACGGGTTTCAAAGGAATGGCGCCCATCCTAGCCTCACACATAGGTCTATTTCATTCCATTGTGACGTTCACTGCATCAATCGGACTGGCGCCAATCCCAGGCTCCCCCACACTTCTTAAATTGGGATTTGATTTTTCCATCGGAATTCAGCAGGATTGACGCCCATTCCTGCGTTGCGAGGAATCATTGATGTCCCCGATGCTTGTTCAGTATGTATACATTTGAACAGCGCCTTGTAGCACGACGAGGAGGAGGAGGAGGAGGAGGAGGAGGAGGAGGAGGAGGAGGAGGAGGAGGAGGAGGAGGAGTGCGAGGGGCACTATGGCATCGTTGTGATAGTAGTCGTAGTCGCAGAATGGACCTTCCACTTGCGCTTTTGCCAACGAGCCGTCCTCCATCCGTTTAGCTGTTGGAAATTTCCAGCTTCAGATTCGTGAAGAGTGAGGACGTTCCCAATTGAAACGCCCGGCCCGCCCTAATGACACGTCCGGTGGTGCGATTGGGAGGAGTTACGTATTGATCAGGAAGGGGGATGTCGGATACGGAGCGTGGGGAGGGGAACAGGAGAGAGAGAGAGAGAGAGAGAGAGAGAAAAAAAGAGAAAGAGAAAGAGGGAAAAAGATAGAGAGATAATGAATCTGATGATGATGATGAGGAGGAGGAGGAGGAGGAGGAGGAGGAGGAGGAGGAGAAGGAGCAGAAAGAGCAGGAGGAGCAGGAGGGGGGGTGGGCGCAGAGGATTGATGAGGAGGGTAAACGGGAGGGGGAGAACCAGGATGCCCGAGTAGAGAGACGAGGATGAGGCCTGATCAGGATCAGGATCAGGATCAGGATATTGATGATGATGGTGATGATGATGCTGATGATGGTGATGGTGTTGATGGTACTGATGCGGGTGATGCTGATGATGATGCTGATGCTGATACTGTAGATGACGGTGACGGTGATGGTGATGGTGATGGCGATGGCGATGACGATCGTGACGGTGATGATGATGGTGATGATGATGGTGTTGATGGTGGAGGTGATGTTGATGATGACGATGGTGTTGGTGAAGATTGTATTGCTGATGATGATGTTGCTGAAGCTGATGATGGTGCTGCTGCTGATGATGATGATGATGATGATGATAAGGATGATGATTGTGGTGGTGGTGACGATGATGATGATTGTGATTGCGGTGACGACGATGATACTGAAGAAGATGATCTTGATCAGGATGATGATCATGTTGATGAGGACGACGAGGCTTTTTATGGTTCGGGTCATGGTAGTGGTGATGGTGGTGTATATAAAGATTGTGATGTTGATGCAGGTGATGGTTATGGTGATGGTGATAAACGCTGGTGATCATACTGCTGGCGATGGTGATGATGCTGTTGTGACTGCGGGCGGGTGATGGTGATGATGATGACGACGACGGCAGGTTCAATGATGATGATGATGATGATGATGATGATGATGACGATTATGATGATGATGATGATGATGATGATGATGATGATGATGATGATGATGCTGATGATGATGATGATGATGATGATGATGATGACAACATGAAGGAGCATATGCAGGATCCACGCGGCGTTGGAGGGCTAGGCGCAGGGGCTCGATGAGGAGGGGGGGAGGATGAGAACTAGGATGCTCGATGAGGGGATGAGGGTGAGGCAAGGTGCACGAGGATCAGGATGATGATGACGATGATGATGATGATGATGCTGATGATGATGATGATGGTGGTGGTGGTGGTGATGATTATGATGACGATGACGATGACGATGATGATGATGATGCTGATGATGATGATGATGATGGTGATGACGACGTCGACGACGACGCTGACGACGACAATAGCGACGATGATGGTGATGATGGTAATGATTATGATGGTGGTGGTAATGGTAATGATCATGGTGGTCGATACAGGGACGTTGTGATCATTGAGGTGATCGTGATGGCTATTGTGTTAAAGTGGGATGGTTGTATCCGTGGTGATGGCGATGATGTTGTCGTGCCTGGTGGTGGTGGTGATGGTGACAATGGTGATGATGATGCTGATCCTGATGATGATGCAGGTGATGGTGATGGTGATAGTGATAATGATGATGAGGAGGATGACGATAATAATTATGATGATGTTCATGATGATTCTGGTGATGACGAGAATTGTAATGTTGTTGATGACGGCTATGATGGTGACGGTGTTGGCGATGATGATTGTGGTTCATATAGGGGTGCTGGTGATGATGGAGGTGGTAGTGATGACGATGGTGAAGATGACGACCACGACGACGACGACGACGATAATGATGATGCTGATGATGATGATGATGATGATGCAGGTGATGGTGATGGTGATGGTGATGGTGATAGTGATAGTGATGATGATGATGATGATGATGATGATGATGATGATGATGATTATGATGATGATGATGCTGATGCTGATGATGATGATGATGATGATGATGATGATGATGATGATGATGATGATGGTAATGACGGTGGTCATGATGACGCCAGCGTGGAGGAGCAGGTTCAGGATGCACGTTGAGGAGAAGGAGGAGGAGGAGGAGAACGAGGAGGAGGAGGAGGAGGAGGAGGAGAAGAGCGTGGGTCGGGAGACAGTGCAGGATGAGTAGGAGGGGGAGTCTTAGCAGCAGTGACAGCGGCTGCAGCGCCAGCGGCGGCAACAGCGGCGGCAACAGCGGCCAGCGGCGGCAGCGGCACAGCGCTGTCCAGGCAGTTGTGAAGCACCGGTCGTGCTCCCTGGCGGACCTGCCACTGTCGGTCGAGGCCAGGCTGTTGTGCGGGCGCGGCTCGGCCGAGCCGCCGTCGTCATCGCTCGCCACCGCCGTGGCTCGTCGCCGTCATCGTCGCGGCCGTCGTCTGTCCCTTCCCCATTGCCGCCGCCGCTGCCGTCGTCGCCCATGCCTTCCTGCCTCAGAACTTCTGCATCCGCTGCGAATGCCGCTGTTTCCGGTGCTGCTGCTCCGCCTGCCCTTGTTCGCGCCGTCTCGCCCCAGCGGGTGAGGAGCCGCTCGATTGCGAAGTGTGGCTGGCTGCGCCGCTCACGGTGCATGTAGTCACCGGCCCGGCTGTTGCAAGTGGTGTCGCTTCAAGTGGTCCCACGTTCAGGCCCCAGGATGCGTCTCATGGAGAGTGTCCTACCTGCCCGGCGGGAAGAGGGATACGCATCACGTGGCCGGCCAGGGCGAGAGTTGGATACACCCGTCCTTTCCAGCGCTGGGCCCCTCATGGCTGGGTATGCTGGCCGTCCGCGCGTGGCAGTGGCCTCCAACTGTTCCACACGTGAATCCAGCCATGTGTGCTTCCAGCTGCTGCGCCTCGCCTCCTGCGCGTCCTCGCTCGCGCGCGGAAGCTGGCGGCGCAGCCGGCGGAAGCAAAACAGCGGCGGGCCCGCCGCCGGCGGCGGCTGGCGGAAGCTCCGTCGAAAGCAACGTGAGACGTTTCTGCGACCACTTGCAAGCCCGACCCCTGCGGGTCCAATCGACGCTGGGGTATCGGACACCTCCGCTCTGGTTCGCTGAGCTTGGCTGCTGGCATCCCCCGAAGTCTGAAGCCCGGCCGGTTTCTCGGAAATCTGGCCTGCAGGGGCAGGGTTCCCATGTGGCCCCCCAACGTTTACGCTGCTTTGGTTCAGGGCCTCCCGAGACGTCGGGCCCGCCGCGGCTGCCGCCCCGCGATGCGGGGGGGGCGGCTCGAAGGACCCACAGCACGCCGACACCTTCAGATTCTGTGACGGCCCCCTCGCCGCGCTCCTCCTCCTCCTCCTCCTTCTCCTCCTCCTCCTCCTCCTTCTCCTCCTTCTCCTCCTCCCTCCTCCCTCCCTCCCCGCGTCCTTTGATGGGCGACCCCACCCCCTGTTCCTCTTCTCCTCCTTGACCTCTCCCTCTCTGAGCAGTGAACCTCCGTCCGTCCACATCTTCGGCGCTCCCTCCCCCTCCTCCCCCCCTCCCCCTCCTCCCCCTACCCCTCCTCCGCCCCTCCTCCTCCTCCTCCTCCTCCTCCTCCTCCTCCTCCTCCTCCTCCTCCTCCGCCTCCTTCTCGTCCTCCTCCTCTTCGGGCAGGCGGCAGGGCCGGGGAGCCCTGGGGGCGAGGGCCTTGTCACTGAGGAGGGCTCCCCGCGACAGGGGTCTGCCGGGCCGCGCCCGAGAGTGTGGGCGTCTCCGCGTGGGTTGCGCGCCTCAGCTGCGCGCCGAGCCCTCGCCGCCGGCCCACGGCCCCCAGGTGCCCCTTCGGTATCAGATCATGGGGGCCCTGCGTCGACTACAAGTAAGAGTCGCCTTTCGCCTTGGTGCGGGCCCGCTGGCGTTGATCAGCGTCGATCAGCGTCGATCAGCGTCGGCTAGCGTACATCAGCGTCGATTCGCAAGAGCCAGCGAGATGGTATGGGAGGCTTCGTCAGAGTGACCTTTGGTGCCGGCCCACTGGGGTCCCCCGACCTCCGAACGCGAGGCGACAGTGGCGTCTTGCGCGCTTTTGTTTGCCCCCCCCCTCTCCCCTGGTGGCCCCCAAAAAGCCGCGCACCAAAGGTCACTCTTACCCAGGGTCAATCTTGCGTGTAGCCGATTGTATACCCTCTAAGTTCTGCCTTTTTAGAGTGCGCTAGCGTCGACTAGCGTCTGGTAGTCGATAAGATAGCGCCGATTTAGCGTCGATCAGCGTCGGCTAGCGTTTCGCAAGGGCCAATCAGATGGTATGGGAGGCTCCCATGAGTTGTCACCTAACGGTGCCCCCTGCACAGGGCCTCCATGCACGGTGGGCATGCGATTTTTCATGAGGACCCCTGCGCTTCAGACTGCGGGCCCTTCTTCAGAGACGACGCGTTTCAAGGGTGCGCTTCGCCCCATGCAGCGGAAACCCCGCCAAGACGGGCAGGCGGACGGGGTATGTCCAAGAGGGGGGCGGGGGGTGAGGACGAGGGGTGCGCCGCGCGGATCTCACGGCTGGGGCCGTGACATCTTCCAGGAGTCATGGCCCACCTGTCTTCCTTTCAATGCGTCCCCTGGCCCCCCCCCTCCCACACCAGCGTCTGCGCACATGCCTCGGACCATGATGCGCACCCCACCCTCTTCCCGTCCCCCCTCTGTGGCGCATTCGACAGGAGGAGGGAGACGAGGAGGGAGCAGAGGAGGAGGCGGCGGAGGAGGAGGAGGCGGAAGAAGAGGAGGAGGAGGAGGAGGAGGAGGAGGCGGAAGAAGAGGAGGAGGAGTCGGACGAAGAGGAGGAGGAGGAGGAGGAGGAGGAGGAGGAGGAGGAGGAGGATCGAACGGACTTAAAAGGTGGCGGAGGGCCGCTCGGCCTTCATGGATCGGCGCTGGACACCCTTGGTGGCGCCTGCGCGCGCCAGGGAGGGGGCTCCAGCGATGATCTGCGGTATCCGCGCGGACCCCCAACAGTTGCTGCTGATGCAGACGTTTCCTTTTTCCAGGGGGGGAGGCGCCTCCCCTTCTGGCCTGCGCCGTTTTTGTTTGTGTTTTGCTCCGAGCAGCTTCGTTGACCTCCCGGCGCGCGCTCATGCTCGTCCTCCTGGGCGCTGGCCCTCCTCGCCCTCGCACCGCCTGGCCCGCCAGGCGCTGTCGACGCAGGCGCAGGCCATGGGAGCGCACACGCTGCAGGCCACGGCGCAGGAAGGGGGGATGACCTTCAAGAGATGATCTTCCTCCTCCTCCTATGAAACGCCTGGGCCATTCAATACTCCTCACTACTAATCAGCCTATCTCCTACTCCCATCCCTCCTCCGCCTCACTCGCCTCCTCCCTCCTCATACTCCTCCCTCATCCTCAATCCTACTCCTCGTCCTCCTCCTCCTTCTCCTCCTCCTCCTCCTCCTCATCCTCCTCCTCCTCCTCTCCCCCTTTACCTCTCCCGTCTCTGGGCCACACTTCATTAGCTTCTGCGCCTGGCGTCGTGCATCGATGGACGAAACCCAAGGGCTGGCAGCCCTCGATGGTGGAAACGGCTTCAGATATTTCCAGCTTCCCAGGGGACATCTTCACCTCGCAGCGTGCCTCCTGGGGCGCCATCTGGGAGGGCCTCGATGAGGCCCGAGTGGAGCACGACGACGACCTGTTTCAGGGCCTTGATGACGGCATCCTCGGGGACATCTGTGACCTCATCCAGAAGGGACCCCAATACCCACCCCTTGAGATCTCGTAGCTTCGGGACGCTGCCAAACGGTTCCCATTGAGCACGGCAGTCGGGGCGGAGAGGTTTCGCCCCAGGCACTGGGCGATCGCCTCCAACGGGGCGCTCTCCTTGCTGCTGGGCTGCATTCTTCATCTGTGCGGGTCTTGGGGGTGTTGGCCTTCGCTCCTTCGTCGAGTACACATCGTTCTTCTGGCGAAACCCTCTTTGGGGTATCGGCCCATAACGTTACTGAATTCAATCGATCGGCTTTGGGGGAAGACGCGATTGGATTGGGTTCGTGGATGGGCCAGTCGTCTTGGGAGACCATTTCTAGCACTGGGAGCCCAGAAGTCCACTACCGACGTGGCGGCAAGGCTGTGAGTCAACGCGGAAGCTGCGGAAGTAGAACCAGGGGGGCAAGTCATCGTGCAGGCGATAGTAGACATCGAGGAATGCTTTGACCGCATCCCCTGGCGTCTTCTACTTGCAGCAGCAGCGCAGCACCAATTTCCCGCTCGCCTCGTGGTGCTTGCGCTGCGCATGTACATGTCATCGCGCAGGATTGCGCGAACCGCTACCTTTTCGGAAGAGATCTGGGCGACGCGAGGCGTCTTGCCTGGATGCCCTCTCGCTACGTTCTGCCTGCAGTGTGTGATGATTGGCCCTCTTTCGATAACGTGTATTCCGACACGACGTATATTTCTCGGACGGTTGATCTGTATGTCGACGACGTCACCATCGCCATCATCGGAAGTGATCGTCAAATCGTCCAAACCTCGGTCGACATGTTATTGAAGCTCATCGAAACCTTAGACGGTATGGACCTCACCCCGGCAAGGCACAAAATGACGGTAACCAGTTCGTCGGTACGGATTGGCAGGCAAGTCGTTCGTCGAGTCGGACATCTCGGATTTCGATACTCCATTGCCTTGGAAGTCCTGGGGATCGAAGTGGCAGCAGGTAGAAAGATCACTTTCTCTCGTCTCCGATCGAGGGTCGCGAAGACCGGCACCAGGCCCCCGGTCATCACGAGCCCACGAGACAACATCGGCGCCCCCCGTTCTTGTCCGGTCAGGCCTTGACTTGCGTGTGGCGGCACCCTTTTTTGGGCGCCAGCTGTGGTAGCATGTGCTGCGCTTCGGGCTCGTCGTTGCGTCCCCCTCGGTCCGTCTTCCTCCTTTTCCCTCGTTCCCTCGTCGGCAAGCACTTCCGCGGACAGAAATCGTTTTTTCCCCAATGCGCTTGGTCTGGGCTTGCAGCATCCAAAAACATGTGGTCCGCTCCCATCTTCTCCCTAAGGAAAAAAGTGGACGTGACGGCGACGGCTCGTCCCTACGGTCGGGAATCTTGGAATGCGGTGGATGTGACGGCGACGGCTCGTCCCTGCGTTCGGGACCTTTGGAAGCCAGCGTGTGGCGCAGCCGGTTCCCGGCCAGCGCTGCCCTGGCGCCAGAGGGAGCGTCGGGCCAGGCCGGCGCTGCCCGGCGTGCGGAATCAGAGAGGACGGGGAGGAGGAGGAGGAGGAGGAGGAGGAGGAGGAGGAGGAGGAGGCGGTGGAGGAGGAGGAGGAGGAGGGCGAGGAGGGGCCGGAGATCGAGAAACCAACGTGAGCACATGATTGCTGCACGACGAGAGAAGAGGGGGGGCCATGGCCGTCTTTCTCCCCCCCGCCCTCCTCCTCGGACGCGCCCTGGTCGGGGAAGCGTAAGACTCGAGCACGCCGGAGCTCGGGTCGGCTGACGCTTCCGGGGCTCAAGATCGGGGGCTTGTAGAGGGAGGGTTATTCCAAGATGGGGCTGGGGAACCCTGGGATTCGTGTGTATTTCTGCGTGCGTCCCTGGGCCCCTTCAGTGTTGGCACGGCGGTCGCGCAGGGCCGGCAGGCGCAGAGGCAGCCAGTGCTCGGGCGTTGCCAGAAGTGCCCAGGGCACCCCCTCGCGAGCCCAGAGGGCCCAAGGGGCCCCAAGATGGAGCGAAGAGCGGGGGGCACCCCTGGGCCAAGGGCACCCCTGGCAGCCCCCTGGCAGCCAGATGCTCCTGTTTAACGCGCTTCCTTGTTCCAGGGACCGTCCGGAGCGATTTTCCCTCCAACCCCACCTTTGCCCCACACCACCTTTTGTGCCCCCCCCCGATCAAGAGACGGGGGTCAATGCAAACGGGGGTCAGTCAGAGCGCCGGATGTTGCAGGATCCTGCAGCGCCAGGGCTGCACTGACCCGGGCTGGCGCGCAGGATCTTGCAGGATTCTGCAAGGCCCGACGGGCCCGCTTGTCTGGGCCACGGCCGGCACGTCCCCGGGGCTTCCTGACGAGCGCGTCCTGGATTCTGACGGCCCAGCTCTCGCGGGGCGTCTGCAGCGGGAGCTCGCGGCAAGCTGCAGGCCAGGCCTCGTCATGTTGCGGGTGGCCCCGCTGGGCCCACCCGGGTCCCCCGAGCCCAAGCCTCACGTCTCCCCGGCCTGGGGCCAGCGTTATGTCGGGCGTGTCCCCCTACAGGGGGATTTTCGACGAAAGATGGAAAATACCAAAAAAATACCCCAAAAAGGTCAAAAATATTATTTCTTTTTTGAAAAATAGTCCCCTGACTATTTTTGGAGCATTTTGGGGGTATTCTTTGTTTTCGTCGAAAATCCCGCTGTAGGGGGACAGGCCCGAGCTCAGGCCAGCGCCCGGGTCCGCCGCGTCCCCGCGCCTCCGGCACGGCCGCGCCCCTGCCAGAGGGGCGCCCCCCCCCCCCCGCACGCAGCCGCTTCCGAGGCCCGAGAGGCGCGGCCACCCCGCGCCCCCCCCAAAGGCCCCCTCTGCTCGGGGAGCGCACAGTGACATAAACATCAAGACTCGGGGGTGGACAGGCCGCTTCTGTGATGCTCAGGCGGAAGACTCTTTAACAGTTTTTACGCCGGTTGGGCTTGCATCCAGAGCTGACAGCAGAGGATATCGGTCCTGTCCGCTTCGTCCCCTCTGCTTTCCTCCTCCTTCTCCCAAAAGTGCGCTGGAAAAAAAACAACAACAAAAAAAACTCGGGGGTGGACAGAACCCCCACCCTGACACGTCGATTCGTGAATTGTCCGTTTTCGGTTCTCGGGAGGGCGCCGCGGCCGTTATCTTCCAGGCTTGCGCCCGCCAGGTTCGGGCCCGAGGTCGTTTTCACTGAACCACGTTTTACTAAAGGGAGGTCTGTCCATCCCCGAAAAACTCCGAGGTCCGCGCGGATTTCTCGGATCGGCGCCGGAGCCCCCTGGGGCGCCTCCGGCGGCGCCCCTGGCGCGCTCCGCGAGCCAGAGGGGGGTTCACGCCGATCCGAGAGATCCGCGCGGACCTCGGAGTTGTTATGTTTATGTCATTGCTTGTTTCCCTATCGGTGAGGCGGGGATCTGTCCATAATAACCACCGCCCGTGGAACCGACGTCCTGGGATCGGACGCACAAGGACATACTAGTCTTATGCGTCCGCTTTAGAGGCGTGTGTCCGACCCGCAGATATAACGTATAAGCATCCTGTAGTATATCGTTTCCCGAGCGGTATGGCCAGAACGCGCCCAGCACAGAGCTTATACTATAAGATTTCTCGGCGCGCGCGTGGCATCTGAAGGGGCGGCGCACACATAGTAGTAGTATGCTGGGTTGACGCTGGTGGGATCCCGGCGGGCGGTGGGTTACGGTCGGGAACGTTTGGACAGCGTGTCGCTCCGCCGGTTCTGGCCCACCGCACTGCGGCGCGACACGCTGTCCACTTCCCAGCCCCCCCCGCGTCAACGTGCCGGCCGCGGAGCGGAGCGGCACGCTATCCGCTCGCAGGGCATGGCGTGTCGCCAGGGCCGCCGCCACCGCGTTACGCTGAGCAGAAGTCCCGACCCTATGCCCATCCCAGATCCACCGCCCCTGGAAGCGACGTCCTGGGACCCCAGCGGGCGGTGGACAAGGCTCTGCTTCGGCCCCAGGGGCCCCGAAGATATGCACACTCACCGCCTGCCGAGGCCCCCGAAGAGAGATCCCCCCAGGCGGTGGTCAGTTTGGGACCGATACCTCCCCGCCCCGAGCCTCCCCCCCCAAAGCTGCGCCGGCCGCTGGGCGCTGCGCGCCCGCGCCCTCGGCCGCCCCAGCCGCCCGCCATGGCGCGCGCGAGCGCGCCCGCAGCCGTGGCCGCCTGGGCTGCCGCTGCCGCCGCGGCCGCCGCCGCCGCCTCGCAGGCCTTCGCCGCGCTGCGGCCGCGCCGCCCGCCGCCGCCTGCGGGCGGCGGCGGCCTGCCGCGGCGCGCGAGGGGCCGCCGGCGCGCCTGCGGCCTCGGCTGTGCCCGCGGCTGGCCGCAGCGGTCGCCGGCCGCGGCCGCGGGGCTGCGCGCGCAGCTGGCGCCGCGCGGCGGGCGCGGGGCGCGGCCGGCGCGGCGTGCGCGCCCTGGCGGGGGGCCCGCCGTCGGGGGTGGACGAGGAGCTGGCGGAGCTGGTGCGGGCCGAGGCGGACGTCAGCAGCGACTGGCTGCGCCCCTTCCGCGACCTCTTCGGCGGCAGGGAGGGCCCGCTGGCCCGCGCGCTGCGGAGGCAGAAGGAGATCGCGGAGGAGATGCGGCGGGTGAACGCAGAGCTCGAGGAGCGCATGCACACGGAGCTGGGCGAGGAGCGCAAGGTGAGCGCCGAGCTGCAGGCCGAGGTCGACCGCCTGCAGACGCAGGTCGCCTCGCTGCAGGACTCCTACACCGCCCTGGGCGACCAGCTGGAGATGGCCCAGGTCGAGCAGCAGCGGACCAAGGAGCAGCTGTCCAAGGCGCGATTGGAGGGCGAAGATGCGGCACGGAATCTGGTGAGCGTGGAGCAACGATTGGAAGACTCGGAACTCAAGCTGAGGAGCGCCGAGGAGAAGAACTCGCTCCTGGATGCCGACAATCGCAGGCTCGACGTCAGCCTGAAGCAGACCCAGGCGGACCTGCAGGGCGCCAAGGAAGAGCTCGCGCTGGAAACCGCCAAGCTCAAGGAGTCGGTCTCTCTGGGCCAGGCGCTGAGGTCTGAGGTCTCCACGGCGAAGACTGCCGCCGCAGAGGCGCAGAGCGAGCTGCACGCCCTCCAAGAGCAGTCGAAGGCCGACGCGGCGGCCGCGGCGGAGACGAAGAGCGCACTGGAGGCGCTCCACGAGAAGTGGACGGCCGAGGCGGCGGCCGCGGCAGAGACGAAGGACGCGCTCGAGGCGCTCCAGCGAGAGTCGCAGTCCGCCGCGGCGGCCGCGGCGCAAGCGACGAGCGCACTGGAGGCGCTCCAGGTGCAGTCGGAGGCCGACGCGGCTGCGGCGGCCGAGACGCAGAAAGCGCTGGAGGCGGAGGTGGAGCAGGGGCGCCGGGAGCAGGCGCGGCTGCTGGGGCAGCTGAAGGCTCTGGAGGGCCAGAGGATCGACCTCGAGGGGGAGCTGGACTGGGCAAGGATGAGCCAGAGGGAGATGCAGGCGAGCGGCGCGGGAGAACGGGGTCGTCCCCCGCCGACCTTCGCGCGCGAGCTGCCTGCGCAGGGTCCCGCGGGAGCGCCCTCGCCTCCGACATGTGGCGTGCCGCGCCGGCGGCCCGCGTCGGCCGCCGCGCGAGAGGAGGAGGAGGAGGAGGAGGAGGAGGAGGAGGAGGAGGAGGAGGACGAGGAGAGAGGAGGAGGAGGAGAG